TTAAAACTTTTTTTGAAGCTATTGCAAGGTTGTGCATTAATTTGAAGCACTTTACTAATGCTTTTTTTATGACGGAAAAAAACGGAAATGTTCGATGAAATAGTCAGTTTTATAAATTTATTTTATGGAGACATAGTAGTTAAAGTGTTAGTATTTTTTATTAATTTACTTAAATTGTGTCAATTCACAATGTAAATAAAAGATTTTTTTTAAAGATTATTAGGTTTAAGCCATTACTCAGCATGAAGAAAAATATTAGTAAAAAAATTTTTTTTTTTATTAGTAACGCATTATTTATGGTACAAGAACAAAAATGTTCCACATAAATCCACGCTTGTATTATATATGTTAGTGTTTTTGAGTACTGTCAGCAATATACTATTTAATGGAATAAAATTTACCTGCTCCAATTTGCTCCAATCTAAAATAGAGCTTTTATGATTTACTTGCTAAATATTATAATCAGCGAGTATATGATAAAAGATTAGAGCAAATTGAAGCAAGTAAGTTTTATTTAATTATTTTAAATATAAGCTTTTTTAAAAAAAGAGTATCAGCGTTACCTAATATTTTTAGTTTGTATATATATATATATATATATATATATATATATATATATATATATATATATATATATATATATATATATATATATATATATATATATATATATATATATATATATATATATATATATATATATATGTACAAATATTTTAAATTGTATTCTACAAAATAGAGTGCTCAATGTTCTTAAAAAAACATTGCTATAATAAATTAGTAGAAAATCACTTATTAAATTTTTTCTCATGATGAGTCTTTATTGATGAAAAACAATGTAAAATATAAAAAAATTTGATTAGTAGTTTTTTACTAATTTATATATACATATGGATTTTCAAAATACTTTTAGCTATTATGTTATAATGTAAATGACAATAAGATTGTAAACTATCGTTAACTTTTTATGTGTTATGTAATCGATAATATATAAAAATGAAAAGAATTGATCTTCTTCAAAAAATTAAAGGGCTAGGTTTCAATAAAGTTAATTTGCTAGAATCTTTGTTTAAAGAAGTTTTAAATGTTTATAACCTTCATGAAGATGACATCAATAAATCAGAGCTTACCAACTTAAAGAATAAGTTGTCTGTTTTTAAAGCAAAAGTGGAAATAAGTTAGAAAAGCATAATAGAAACTATGACAGATTGATTTTAAAAGAGGGTGTTTGGCTACAGGTAAGGAAACAAAAATATTTCTTAATAAATTTTTTTTTATGCAATCATTTTATTTAATTAAGTTTCTATTTACAGGAGGAGTTTTTTCCAGATCTTGATTAAAGAATTTAATCTAAAGAAGGTCCAGGTAGAAAAAATAAAGTTTGGGAAAATTTTGGTGAAAGAAGCAAAAATTGCCCATTTGGCTGAAAACAATCACGAAGCATTGGCTTTAGCTTCTTTAAAAAGTGCTGCAACTGAATCCAACATTAATAAAAACAATTTTATCTTTATAGTAAAGAAGGCTTTGGACCCAGATAAAGCAAATGAAATTAGAAAAAACATGTCTATGCATGAACCTGTTAAAATGAAAGTTGAAGATGCTCTCAGCCTAAAAATTCAATGTGATCTGTCCGATGAACAATATCAGATAATCAGAAATAGCTCCCTATTACAAAATGCAAACATCTATCTGTCTCTTCATAAAATTTTAACTGAAAAAAAGAAATGCTATCCTGATAATATGATTTTTTCAGAAACATCTGCAGTTTGCTCCCTTCAATCTCTTTTTAATCACACACTGTGTAGAGTCTTGAGTCTAAATAGTTGCAACAAAATATTTTCTGAATTATCGGTTAAAGATATCAATCAACATGGAATTATGCATTTCAAAGATGGTTTTGATAGAGCGTCTAGCCAGAGTCTGTATAAACAAAAATATTTAGATACAACTCTAGATGAAGTTATTAAAAATGAAGAGAGTATTTTCAAACATCTATTGTGCCTCTTAAACTGACTATTAATGATACAGTAATCTGGTACAACAAAAAACCATCTAGTACACATTTCTGCAGACCAGTATGTTTGCAGTACAAGAAGGAAACAAATTTTTTAACTAAAGAAGAAGAAGAACGATTACGGATTGAAATTCAGAAACTTGAACCATTTGTAGTAAGTTTAGAATCAAAACCGACTGAGTCATCTATGATGACAGCAATTATAAAGTATAATTTGGATTTGACTATGTTTGATGGTAAGGTTATTAATGCACTGACATGTACTACCTCTTCTCAAAGCTGTAATGTATGTTCAGCAAAGCCAACAGAGATGAATGACATTAAATTGATTAGATCTAAACCTGTCAATAAAGAAGCTCTTTTTTTTTTTGGCCTATCACCTCTTCACTGTTAGATTAGATGCTTTGAGTACATTCTTCACCTTGGATATAAATTGAAAATTAGGTCATTTTATGCTAAAACATCTGAGCAGAAAGAATCAGTTAAAGAAAGAAAAGCATTTATTCAAAAGAAGTTTAGGGAAGAACTAAGTCTTATTGTTGACATGCCAAAACAAGGTTTTGGAAACACTAATGATGGTAATACTGCCAGAAGAGCCTTTGAGGAATCGATAACCTTCTCTGAGATAACTGGTGTAGATGTTGACATCATTTCTAGACTTGAAACAATTTTAAAAGCAGTTTGTTCAGGATATGATTTAGATCCAAGCTCTTTTCAAAGTTATTGCAATGACACAACAGATAAAATTCTTTCTGAATATAATTGGTATGTTATTCCTCCAAGCGTTCACAAACTTTTAGAACATGGTTTACAGATTGCCAATGCATTAGAACTTCCCATTGGAGTTTATTCAGAAGAATCACTAGAGGCTCTTAACAAAGAGATTAGATTAGAAATGCAAGATTAAACCATTCATGCAAAATTTCAAGGATAATTGTTATGAAAAACCAATTTAACTATTTTATGATAAGGAGTGATCCAGTTATATCGAGCATTCAATTCACTAACCATAGCTATGAAAATGGGAAATCACTCCCAATAGAAGTTCTTTCTCTTCTTAAACAGTCGTAATTTTTTTGAGAATTTTATTTTTTATAGATGCATTTGCATCAAAAATTTAAATTTAAAATAGTTATAATAGTAATTTTCAAAGTATATTCTAATTCTCAGAGTATAACTATTATATGCTCATTGTTGATGTCTGAATTTTTTTTTAATTATCATTCTTTCAATCATCGTTTTTATCAAAAGAGGAGGGTAATAATTGATGAAATAAATTTGAAATAATTAAAAATAAAATTTTTTATGAACTAAAATTTGAAATAGTTATAATAGTAATGCTCAGAGATTTTATTATATTCTCTTTGTTGATGAATGAATTTTTTTTTTTTTTTTTGAAAGTTCTTTCAATCATTGTTTTTAACAAAAGGGGAGGGGCCCGGTAATAATTATGACAAATTTGGATGGTAATGTACCGAGTGATCACGCCTGATTACAAGTTGGAGAGAGTTAAAAAAAGATTTAAAAATAAATTATGTATTTATGCAAACTATTACTTGATTCGAGAAGTTAAATTTAAAAAAAAAATCTGCTTGCGCGTATCAAATTTCATACGTACGTATTTTTTAGATACGCGCACGTTTTGCTGGTTGTTGCGCGTAAAAATAATTTAAAATTACATAATTGATCTTTTGACAAAAAAAAAAAAATAACTATTTCTTTAATACATATTAACATGCGATGGTTAGATAATTTTTGCCGTTTTTTCTTCATTTTGAGTCACTGTGCGGCGTTAAGAATAAAATTTTACATTATGCAAAACTCTAAAAGACAAAAACAAATTGAAAAATAACCGGCAGTTCCAAAGAAAAATATCTCCTTTTACCTTACTTATTAAAAAAAAAAGTATTGAGAACGAATGGTTACAAAAATTTGCAAAAAAAATTTGCAATATCTGAATTTTGTAAATTTTATGGGGAGATATCAGCATGACGAAAATGACCATAAGTAATATGTTTTCGTAAATTGTAGTATTCACATGAAAACAATACCTTGGTTGTTTTTAGTGTAAAAATTATCTGTGGTTTTGAAATAAGATCTGATGTTTAATTTACAAGTATTGAACCTGTTAAAACTTATCAAAATTAACAAAAACATGATTTTTATTAAAATAATGTCTAAGCTAGTAAAGAAACTAAACATATAAATTGATAAATAAAGAACGTATATAACTTATGTAACTTTTTTTTTATAAAAAAAAACATAAATCACACAGAAATTTTTAATTTAAATTTATAAACTAACAGTTAAAAGACTTGTGTCCTTTTCGAAATGACAGGTTTAATTATTGCCAGTTCAAAAGTATTATAAACAATATTATAAATAAACAATTGTAACAGTCGTAACTCCCTAAAAAAATTCAGTTTAAATTTATTTCAAATTGTTAAATAATTAACAAAATGTTTAAAAGCATTAAATATATTTAATAAAGTATAAAATACAAAAATATTATAAAATATATTTTTATTATGATATATTATAGTTATAAAAAATATTAAATAAAATAAAAATATTAACTTAAACCTAAAATGTATGTGTGTGATTATACAAATACATTTCATATTCAAGTACATATTTTGAGTATTGTCTCAAATACATTTTCATATTCAAGTACATTTTTTGACTATTATCTCTTAAGTATTATCTCCCACATATGTACATCATGTGTTTTTTCAAAAAATGGATTATTTCTATTATATTATTTTACGCTTTTATTAAAATGTTGTTTTTGTTTCTTAAGTTATTTGGCTTGAATTTTATTGTTTGAATCGCATAGAAAAAATTTTTAAAAGCTCTTTAATGTTTATTAAATGTTAAATGCGTAGACTATATAAAAAGTACCATCAATTAACAGCTAAAAGTCACATACAAAACATAAGCCTTAGTTACAAGCACTCAGACATAAACGCAAATATATTTGAATCCTTTAATAATGCTTTACAAGGAAGTCTTTAGAAGAGCATATATAATAGTCTAACAATAAAATTATTTTTAAGTTAATGCACAGTTGAAAGGGAGTAACATTTAAATTTGTCTTAATAAACGGATTTCCACCGTGTTTAGTTAAAACATCAAGCATTTTTAAGCTCAGCATTAAATTGTCTTTTGATGTAGCAATTACTAAATGCATTGGTGACCAACCTGTATTAGAAACACTATTAGGACTAGCTCCATTTTCTAAAAGATAACGTAACACCTCAAAGTTTCCACCTATTACTGCTGCATGCACCGGTGAAAATCCTTCGTCGTCAATCGAGTGTAGTGATGATCCATTTTTTATTAATATTTTTGTGCATTTAAGGCAACCTTTGTAGGCTGCTTCGTGTATTAAAGAGTCCTTTTTTCGAATTTCTGACGTAGCAATAATTTTTTTTTTAACTATTGTTTTGACTAGCTTGCATTCGTCCGATTTAATTGCTTGAAGTATTTGGTAGAATCTTTTTTCAGATTCGCTTACCTTTTTTGTGAATGGTACATAAAGAAGATTTTGGAGGCCTTCTTCAGAAAAACTTGAATTTGATCCGAAGTATTCCGTTTTGATTGGTTTGAAATGCTTACTTATTTTCGTAGAAGTTTTTTGAACTTTTTCATTTTGAAACGGTATGCTGTGCGGATTCAAAAAGCTAAAGCGAGCCGCCATAGGAGTTTTTAGCTTAAGTGATTTTCTTGAAGTTAGCATTTCTGGATCAAGAGTTGTTTCTGTGAAAGCTCGCAATCGTTTCCTCCCATTATCGGGTGTGTTAATTCCATCTTCATATATTTTGTTTGTCAAAATATCACTTTCAGAAAATTGCATCATTGACTGCGTTTTTTCTACAACATCATTCTCTGAGTCAATTTTAAGTTTCGTATCTTCTTCATCTAAACAAGGAGCTGACAAAGCTGAGGTACTTGATGAGCGATAAATTTGGAAATTTATTGGAATTTTTAATTCCTTATTTGATCCGTATAACATTTTCTTTTTTCTTGCGCCAGAACACAAACTAAAACTTATAATTTCATTTTTATTGATTTCATCGTCCTTATTTAAAAACCTAGCATTAAGATACTTAGAAGGAAAAAGTACTTGCATTTTCAAAATAATAACTTAAGGAAGAAGTCTTAGTGTTTTAATTAAAAAAGCAGATTTTAGTTTCAAAAGATTGTTGTGTTTCCATAGAAAACATCATTGTTTACACCAACTAACAGGCGTTAAGTTTAGCACATAAAGGTTTATACTTAGTACTTAAGATACCGAGCTTAATATCAAAAAAAAAAATTGTTTTTTTTTCGGAACAATATAAAAGATAAACTTGATAGAGTGATGCGATATTATATAGTAATGCAGAAATGCAAATAGACGCCTTATTATAATGTTAAGCGGAACGAAATAAGAAATAAAAAAATCTTAAGGATTAATTAAAATATTTTTGCTCATAAGTTCAGCTTTAATGGTAAAAAAAGTTTAGTTTTGATTTACGATTACTTTTCTTAAACCAGGTTACCTATTACTTGTATGAAATGGAAAATTTCGATTATTTTAAAAAATAACAATTATGAAAAAAAAAAGAAACTTTGTTATTAACGTCATTTTTAATTACATAAAGAGTAAAAACATTTAAATAGTTTAGGTTTTATTTTGACAAGCTATTCAATAAACAATTTTTTGTGGAGACAAAAGATATATAGCTAGATATCTTTTGTCCCCGCCTATACCTATATCTTATAACATTTTAATGAGGAACTTAATGCCTCTGCCGCTACTCATACAGTTGGTCTTACATTATTTCCTTTAACAATTGAATTAAATTAACCACGCTGTAAGGTACTCTTGAGTCCTTAATAATTTGTGTATATCTATTTCATCACTTTTAAGAATTAATATATATATATTATAATTAATATAATTATAATATATATAAATTGTCTTTACTTAGTCTACTAATTTCTTAATAAATAAACATGTTTTTATTATTTTTTTAGAAAAATTAAAATTACGATGTCAGGTAATAAATTATTTCGATCTGTTAAAATATTTTCTCCTAAACCGTCTTTTTTTGTAGATAATGTGGAACTTAGTGTGGCTAAGTACTAATAGTATGAGTAATGGTGTTCTTTTTAGTATATGTAAGTCGCTTTTGAGTTTTTAACAATACTTTTTTTTTATTTTTCAACTTTGTTTTGAATTGACATATATATTTAGTTTATCATTATTATTTAGATGAAAATAACAATGAAGGAAACATTGGTTAGTTTTTTTAAAGTTTATATTTTAATATATATATTATATTTATTGTATGTTTATATTTAAACAATCGTTAATGTAAAACATTCGGATTTAATAACAAAGTTTTTACTTGTATTTGTTTATTTGAATCATATATTTAGATTGAAATAACAATGAAGAAAGCAAATAAATATATATAAACAAATATGAAAAACATTTAAAAGTTTATATTACTTTATAAACTTTATTTACTTTTATAAACTTGTTTTTTTGAATTTTTGTAATAACATTATGATGCTTACCCATTTTCATAAATTTAAGAAAATGTTTTCTATTTTTATTTTTTTGTACTTTTTTTGAGTTGTTTTATACTTTAGACTGTTGTTTGCCTTGTTCTTTGGTCTGTTGTTGTTCTTTATTCTAAATCACAATAAAAAAGTATTTATTACTTATAAATACATTTTTTTGTTTAATATTGTTTGACATCTTATGTTTTTTTAACATTTAAAAATTTTTTGTTTGATTTAACTTTATTTGATTATTACTTACTAAGTTTGCTACGTTGTTTCATTTTTTCGATACACTTCATAACGAATTTACTCTTTATAAATTTATTATCTATGTTCTAAATTTATATTTTTTTAAATTCTACAATTTATACTATAGATTATTGATAGCCTTTATTTTTACACTGTATTTTTGTAATTCGTTTTCTTTATTTGATTTGTTTATTATATGTAAAACTATTGATTAAATATAAAGCTGAACAAATTTTATATTTCTTAAATTTTATTGTTGTTGTTGCTTGTTTTAATGATGATGTTAATGTTTAAAAATACTGATTAACAGAATTTTGATATAAAGTTTAGAATGAGAAAACTTGCATTCTTTTGTTAAATTTTCCGACCTGTTTGCATTAAATTATTGCTATGTTTAAGAAGATTAAATTATTGTTATAAATAATATTTTTTGTGTTGTTTATATAACTTTGTAGTGCTGTTTGATTTTTCGAACTGTTGTCTGTTCTATACTTTGGACTGTTGTTCTATGCGTTTATTGTGAACAACTACAGTTTACCTTCAAAGATTTATTGAGATCTTACTCGATCAGGTTGTTATTTTTATATTTTTCTTTTTCTTTTGTTTTCTTATATATATTTTACTAAGTAATTTTTATTAGATTACTGTCTATTAAGTAATTAACAAAGTATGTTAATTGAGTAATTAACAAAGTATTTATTGCTATTTCTTGCTCTGTTATTTATTTGCAAACTAAATTTTTTTTATATCCATTTAGTTTTTAAAAAAAAATTTTTTCTCTCATTTAAAAATGTATATTTTGCTTTTATGCGTTGTAAAAGGTTTAAAAGCGTATCCTAGTGGGAACGCGTTGTCCAGAGGAAATTCGTTGGACGTCCGTGAGACGTCTAACGGACATCCCTCGAACCATACATGCCCACTGGATATAGAAATTTATATATATATTTCATATTTGTTCAAACTCGATTGATGCTATGTGCACTGCCCATATGCTTTCGTCTGTAAGAGGACATTACTTTCTCATGTTCAGTTAGCTTTATTTTGATTTTATTTATACAACAATGTCAATTTTAAAACTTTTGATAAAATGATGTTTATCTTTTGCCTTGCTTTGCACATGTCTAACTATATGTCACACATTCAACAATGAAAATCGTTTATTAAATTGTTTTTTTTAAAATTAGCGAACATTCATTACCAGGTATATCATTAAAAAAAGTTTATTGCGTTAAACTGTTGTTATATATAGGTTAACACTATTGCTATATAAATATATATTGCTACATATTTTTTATTTCTTTAATTCATTTTTTTTTTGTCTACTGTTGAATGATGTTTCAAGTTTAGAAAATTTTCATAATTTGAAGTTTAGTTAAATTTATCATAAGTCAACAGGATAACTTGGAATTCTACACAGTTTTACCCAACAGCAGCATTAAAACAACATTAGGTAACTAGATTTGAAGTGATGCTATGGCATTAGTTCTTTTATATTTACATATCATAATTGATTGTTTTTTTAGATTTAGCTTACAAAGCTTTTTTCAAAGCAAGAGTGGTAGGAAAACAGTTAACTAAATCTGCAATTATTTTTTCGTAATTTCTTAGTCTACTAATTGTAAATTCAGTTGAATGTTTTTTTTTTTTTTTTTTTTTTTGTATATATTTTTTTTTTTATATATATTTTAAATATTTTGTGTAGATATATTGTAAATTATAAATAGTATTTATTTCTTTTGTTAAATGATGTTTTGTTTAATAAATAATTTTTTTATGTTTTGTTTGGAAATAAATTTTGTTGAAAAGATATATTTTGTTTCCTTTTCTTAACAATAAATAAAAAATTTTGAAAATTGTAAATAAATTTTGTAAAGATTTAATTATTTACATTAAAAGTGATTTTGCTTCTTTTTCTTAACAACTGATGTTTTGTAATGTAAATATATATACTTTTTTTTTTATTTTGCCACATATTATTACGACTCTTTAACCTGCCGATTAAACATAAGGCTAAGGGAGTCTTTTTAAGAGGGTCGAAATTTTGTTATAGCCTTTAATTTGAAATGACACGCAAACTTGTATTATTAACGTATTTACGTAATCAATTAGGTAAGTCTGCGCATCTAAGACTGTTAAGAGACAACTTTCTTTGTACGCTGATGTTACATACAACTTAAGTACGCTGATGTTACATACCAGGGGCGGATCTAGCATTTTAAATGGGTGATGCGAAATTTTTTTATCGACGTCTCCCCCCCCCCCCCCCGCAACCTCTCTAGGGTTTAAGTATAGTCAATATAAAATGTGGAGAAACAGCTTTTTTTACTAGTGGCGCCGCTGTTTATATCATTGAATAATAACTAAATTTTGTATTGCTTTTGCAGTATCCATTTTTAGCAGAAATTTTTACAAATGTTGCCTTGGCTATTTTGTTCATAAATTAGACATGTAATTTTAAGCCTAATTTACTTAACAAAGTGCACCAACGAGAAGGTAAGCCATAGGACTTTGCACTTCATCTATATACTGTCATTTTGCCCAAGGTTAGCCCTCCATTTCTGGAGTGTAAAGTAATATTGCCTAAGGTTGGCCCTCCACTTCTGGACATATATATATATATATATATATACACACACACACACACACACACACACACACACACACACACACACACACACACACACACACACACACACACAATATTAGATAATTATTTCTAATTTGATAAAAATCAAATTAGAAATAAGAAAAAAGTAAAATAAAAGTTAGTACACTACTAAATAAAAGCTATGTCTAAATGTCTTTCACCTGACTTTGAAAAAATGTCAATGACTCTTTCAACATCTGGAAAAATTTCTTGATGTATGGACATTAATGCTAAAGAGTTAAAGCGAGACTCAATCATATTACTTCTGGAGAATGTTTTTAGCCTACGTATAACTGAAATACTTCTTTCACATTCACAAGTTGTTATTGGAATTGTTCCTAAAATTATAAATGCTGTCCTTATATTTAGAAAACCTCTCATGTCAATGGACTTTAAAGTACCAGCAACAGTTGAAGGAATACTTGACTGGTTTTCCCAAAATAATTCCCATAAATCTAACTCAGCATGTATTGAAGTAAAATGAGGCATATCAGATGAATAGAAATTTAAAAATTCATAAAAATCAGATTTCCATGGTTTTTTAACTTGTATTCTGGATAGTACAGTTGAAGGAACTGCTGCTAGACCTTTATAAACAAACATGCCATTTTCTGGAAACCTATTATCTAGCTCATTAATAAGATGTTCAATTAATGGAGATGTAATGCTGTGTTTAAAATAGTCACAAACTGTATTTGTTGGATAATTATCCCGGTAAACCTGGACATTACACAATCTAGGTCTCACTTCTTGTATATCAAGAGTTTTGGCCAAACTAAGAGCGATAGCGTACCATTCAGTGTGATATATATCAATTTTATTTTTAATTTCTAATAACAGATTTTTTAGATTAGTTATTTCAAAACACTGCTGGGATATGTCAAAAGATTTAGTTTGAAGAGTTACAGTAATTGAATTTGAAAAAAAACAGAATTGAAAAAAATCCATTAATTGTTTTGTAATAACTAAACTTACAATAAAAGAGAAATCTGTTAATAATCTTAAAAAAAAGAGGATTTGGAAGCAGTTTCACTGCTATATTCCTTAGACTCATTTAACCCTATCTCCTCTAAAGCATGAATAATAGGTATAAAATTATCAAAAAAAACCATCAAGACCTCTCAGCTTTTGAACCCATCTTGTTCGACAAGTATCTATTATTTTTTCTTGATTTGGACTTAAATATTTTTTGAGACAGTTACTACGTTTAGGAGATAAGTTAAAAAAAAATATTTCTTTTACTTGGCCAAGAAGATTTTTTACTTTTTGAACTTGGCATGCTGCTACTACTAAACTAAGTCTATGGCTTGCACAATGACCAATGATAGCTTTATGATTAAGAGCTTTTATTCGAGAAGCAACTCCTTCATATTTACCTGCCATACAACCCGCACCGCCATACCCTTGGCCTCTACAATTTTGAATATCAAGTCCAAACTCTTGAAGTGCATTAAGTACATTTAGAGACTAAGACCAGATGTACCAGTCTTGCAATCAATAAATCTTAAGAAATCCTCGCAAATATCATTATTTGAATTTACATATATTAAAACAAGTGACATTTGTTTAGTATTTGAACAGTCAACTGTTTTATCACAAAGAATTGAAAAAAAAAATTGAATGCTTGACATTTTTTATTAAAACTTTCTCAATTGCTTTCCCACAAGAATCAATAAGTTGGTTTTGGGTAGTTTTTGATATATAGGTTGCATTTTTTGGACTTGAAGAAAGATGATTAGCTAATACTTGATCACCAGCATCAACACAAAAATTTAAAAGCTCTATGAAGTTACTAATTCCAACTTTTTGTGTAGAAGATTCCCCAATATCAGGATGATATTTGCTAGCATCACGAAATGCTAGATCGTTTCTACCAAGAAATATTATTATTTTAATTATTGGAACTAATTTTTTTTTGTTATCAGAAAGAAGTTTCAAACGAGAATTATTTAAATCAACCTCAATAACATTATTTTTGGAGTTGCAACGTGAAAGCAATGCATTAAATAAAAGCATAGGTTTTTCATGTAAAACACAACTTTCCTCATGTTTTCTATAATGACGAACAGCATTACCTCACTCTTGATGGGGCTTGAAAACTAAATTTAATATTCCAGACTTATTTGGAATACTAGCACCTAGCAAAGTACAAGGAAGACAGTAAGCTCCATCTTCTTTGCTAGAATAAGCTAACCAAAAAAACTGGCCGAGCCATTCAAATTTAAATGATCTTTTTGTATTAAAAGATATTGGAAAAACAAACATAGAATTAGGACAAAATACTTTGTTTACCATATCTAACAAAATAGAATCATCTTTGCCAGCTTTTCCCCGAACAAGATATGTTGAAACTTCATACAAAGAATTTGATTCATTATAGGAAGGAATAATAACTGAGTTGGAGTCTAATGACTTAGCTAATTTTGAATCTACAGAAGGTTCAAACAACTCTATGAAAGCATTGTCTTTTTTAAAGTTAATTTTAGATTAAATTTTGACATGTTTTGCAGAATCAAGTTGTTGTTTTTTATTTGTTTCAGTTTTAAGACTAAAAAAGTGTAAAGGATAAGTAGTATCGTTTTTTATAGCCAAATTCTTATTATTACTAGAAAATAGTTTAGGTTTTTTAATAATTGGTACAAAATGGTTTGGTGTCCAGTTATCATTATTTTGCATCACTGACATAATATCAGTATTACACCATAAAATATTTAAAACATTTTGATCTTGATTTTTAATTGAACGAAATGGAAAAATAATTGTATTAAAAAGTTTTTTGAATTTTTCTAAGCCAAAATCAGTATAAATTAATCTAATAGGAATATATAAAACTGATGACAAAGCAATTAGACATAAAAATGAAGAAAACTTGTTAGCTCGGTAGTTGATCAATGCTTCCATTATTATAATTTCAGAAGTAGATTCACTGTTAATTAATTTAAATTGATCTGAACATTCAAAAGAAACACAGGCTACTAGAACACTGGAAAGATTTAAAAAATTATTGTTTTTAACCTATTTAACAAAAAGGGAGTACCTCGCATAGTAGCAAACTTTTTCAAACAATTCAATCGAAGTTAGAAGCCTCAATACAATAACTGTCTTCAGAGACGAATTGCTTAAAAGTGAAGCTGAACTGTAGAGGCATGCCTCTACAGTTGCTAGAGGCATACCTCTACTTTTTATTTTATTTAAGGTCATCTGAAGATGGAAATTGCCGGCAATTTCCATCTTCAGATGACCTTAAATAAAATAAAAAGTATACTAAAACAAGCTCAGTTTATATTAAATACTAGCTGGAAATATAAAATACCATTAACTTTAATAATAGGGTTTTACCTTAAAGCAACATAATCTTTAGTATCTTCTTGCTTTGGGATAAAACGATCCATTTCAGTATTTTCAGAAGACTGACTATGTGGCTGAACTGGACTCTTATTATTTAAAACTTTCAATTCTTCAGTCAACTGGTTTTTATATTTGCGAATATTTGGCAATTGTCTAGCCTTAATTGCATTTGAGACTAAAAAAATCATTTTTTTTCAAAACTTTATTTTACAAGCTAAGTCCAACGACGAAAATTACGGCATATCAGAATTTTGTAAAATTTGAACGATTTGGAGCAACTGATGCAATTGTTCTAAACTTTCTACAAATTTGATTGGTTATAAATAACATTTCTTATCTTTTTTGTAAAGTTTTTTGCGGAAGTTTTGTAGCAACTGATGCAATTGTTATTTTATTAAATAGTGATTGGTTTAAACTGTTTTTTAACCAATCATTAATGATTTAGAGTACAATTGCATCAGTTGCTACAAAGTGATCGGAAAAATTTGTGAAAAAATACAAATATGATTGGTTAAAACGTACTATTTTTTTTTTAAAACCAATCACATTTGTATTTAGTGAAGAACAATTGCATCAGTTGCTCCAAAACGCAGGAATTTTGTCTAAGTAACGAATAAGTAACTATAGAGATCGAATAAGTAACTATAGAGATCACTTTAAATGATTTTTTTTCGAGTTTAAAACAAGTTTTTCATTTTTTGTGAATACCAGATTCCAATTTCTCCTTTTACTTTTTATTAAGAAAAAAAAGTGAAAAAGAGATACACTTAAATTTAGCGGTGAAAAAAGACTGATGCATGCGCATCATTCGCGACACCCTGGATCCGCCCCTGCATACAAACCTTTTTTTTTAGAAATAACTAATTATCGAATCTTTTATTTTACACAAAATATGCACGTTTCTTATTATAATTATAATGCACAAATATCCATGTTTCTTATTATAATGCATAAAACTGAAAGAAGAGGGGTTGATGTGTCATTCACACGAAACCAAAACTAACTCCTTCTATGAATAAAAAAAAGATTAAAGTGGGCTTAAAAGCATCGTAATCGGTCTTTTGATGATTGAACAAAGTTTTTTCTAAGTATTTTGATTCAAATTCTTATTAGTAACTTATTAAAAAATATGTTCTTGTCATTTGTAAAAAAGAATCAATCTTTTCCAGTTTTGTTCAACTAAACAACCTTACCCTTAACCTTAGATTTATTGCTCTCTCGTTCGGAGAAGTTGTGGCCCCAAACAAGAGAGCAACTTTTTAGTAAAATTTTAGGGCTTTTTTGTTCCCAGACCCCAATCATTTAAATTTTTTGCCAAACATTCTTATTTGACATAATTATAATCGTATAAATTTTTGAATTATCTCAACCATCAAAAAATGCTTAATCCGCCAAAACCATCAAAAAAATTAACCATCAAAAAATGCTTAATCCTTGTATTATGTATTACACCATAGCCAGAAGACTCACCTGAATTCGACCCCATGTGCGAGAGTTAGAAAACCAAGAAACAGGAAAAGAAGTTATAACAAACAAGATCTGAGAAAAAACATTATTAGCATCCGACACAATAGCACCGAGTTATAAAAAAAATCAATTGTAAGCATGCTATGGCGGATCAAAGCAAAATGAAAATAAAAGTGGTTTTATAAAATATTATTGCCATTAGTATATTGTTGTAATAATCTATAAATATTGGAAATGTCTAAATTTTTTTGCATAGTTTTGATCGAATAATACTGTGCGATTTTTACCGTGTAATGAAAATGCAAGCTTGAAATTGCACCTTGTAATAAAAGTATAAGCTTGAAATTGAACCATTATTTTTCTTTTTTCTTAAAAATTGTACGCAATATTTATTAAAAAATTACCACTCTAATGTGTACTGTATACTGGTTTCTACATTTTTTAAAAATAGAAAATACAATTATATGTTAAACCTTATTAAAAAATACGATGAAAATTAAGAGCGTAACTTATATCATGCTTAAAAAACAACAACATTAAAACACAAAAGAGTGAAAAGTTATGATAAGCTTTGGTCAGATAATAATAAATAAAATTTAAACTAAAAAAAAATACTGTTTTTTTTATTTATTTTTCTTATAAGCTCTATAGGCTCGATGAATGTACAATGTACATTCATGTACATTCATAAATGTAAAATGTTCAAAATTTTTTAAATAAATATCAAGTATTAAAATAAAATATTTAGTTTACAAATAGTTAAAGGACCTAAAATTTCAAAAAATGTTTTTTAAGTTATTTATTCGATATAGCTATCTACTGTAAAAAAACTGTTTCTTTTTTTATTAATGTATAACTTTTCTGTTCTGTTCTGCAATGAGCGGGCTTGTTTTTGTAAGTAATAAGTTTTAGCTGTTAACTTTCAAATTCAATACGGTGCTAAACTTACCAATTAAAAATAGTTTTTTACGACAATTTTTAGAAGAATGTTGTGTAGAAGATAAAACCGGCAGTTTTAAGCATTAAAGTTTTTTTGCCTACCAAATTTTACAGGTAATGTTTCATCAATGATAGCAGACACATTTTTAATAAAATATCTTAAACCAAAAAGACCGTCTTTAAAATTAATGCTACGGTGATTAGAGGAGTTCTTTGTTGATCTGTTATACTTTTTTAAATGACTAGCAATAAAAAAAGGCTGAAGTTGAAGATCATTTTCGTTTCCCTTAATTTTCATTGCTTGATCTCTAATGTTGCCGCGTGTTACTTGAGCTTTTCTGGGAACAGGGTGTCTAAATATAAAACTTTTATCGTATCCTCTTTCAACTTGATATGGCTGCGGAATTAGTCTTGAATTTGACTTGCTCATCCCAATAGTTGGCGCTGGGTTCAAAAGAATATTAAACTTTGCTTTTAAGTTTTTTGATTTTTTATCTACTCCGTTAATATCATCGGGATGTCCTGGATTTAACAAAGGTAAAGTTTCTTGGTGATCGGGAATAACAAAGTTGGTGGACTTTGTATCCAGATCAAGTTTTAGCTTTTTAGCAAAATTGGACTCTTCTATATTGTTGAGTTGAAAATTCATGCTTTTTATTTTGCTGTCAAGACTTTTCATGCCGTCAAGATCTACGCTCATAAGACCATCTTTTAAGTTTGAAAGTGTACTTGTATGAACTTCTTTAAACATATTTCTTTCGTCTGCTAAATGAAGAGGGTTGTATCTTTCTACTTCAATGGTTGTTTTGACAATTTTTGGTATCTCTTTTGTCTTGTTTTTTATCGTATAGTTGTGCTTACCTGTCAAAGTGGCTGGAGAAAAAATATCATGGGCCAACTGTTTTAGTGCGCCAGATCGTAATAAAGTTGTATTTTTCTTTAGGTGAAGTTGAACAAGTTTCATAAGTTTAGAATCGTCTTTTTCATTTGCAGTAGGTTGTGCTGATAAATGGTTAACATGATCCTCAATTGTAATAGCGTCTTTAGGTGAATCTGCAGTAATGGATTTAAAATTTTGTTCGTTTGAAATTTCGTTCAGCCAGGTTTGGGCCTTTAAACTTAAAGTTGTTGATTCGTTGTTTTGTGAAGAAATTTCTGGAAACTGTTGCTGTTCAGTTTTTTCGTTTATTTTTTCAACTCTGTCATTTATTATATTGGTACGGTTTGTCATTGGTTCTTCTCTATCCATGCCTTTGTTAGCGTGGTCAGATTTTATATTTTTAATGGTTGTTTTTACCAATTTAGGGTCTTTTTTAACATATTGTTGTTCTTTAGTATGCGAGTCTAATTTATCTTTAGATTCTTCTTTACTTTTTTCTGAATCACTTCTTTCTTTTTTTTTATTTTTTTTTATTTCTTCAATGTCTGTTGAATTTGCTGGTTTTAATGTTGTTTTATCAATAGCGACGTCTTCGTTAGCTTCTTTCCTATTTAAGACGTCAGATTTATCGTTAAACAACTTTTTTGAAGTTTTTAAATCATCTGTTTCAGTTTCTGATTGATTAGATTTTATGTTGTTATTGTCTTTTTGTCTCTCAATATTTTTATCAAATTTATCTTCAGGATTCTTATTGAAATCAAAATTAATATTCTTATCAATATTTTTTTCATTATCAATATTTTTATCAATTTTATCAAAATTCTTATAAAGGTTTTCTTTAACTTTTTCATCATCGCTTGTTTTTTCTTTCACTTTTAAGTCACTTGTTTTTGTTTCTAATTTATGATCAAATGATACATTTTGGCTTTTAAACAATACAGTAGCTTTTTCATTTTTATTGTCTTCAGACACCTGATGTTCTACACTTTTTCTTTCTTCAGTTAAGTTATTTTTAGGAACAGAATCAACATAACTTAAGTTATTTTTAATATTTTCATTTAATGAAATATTAGATACTTTTTTTATGGTAGACGGAATATCACGCTTACTTCCATCCATTCCTTTTGGCGTTTCCTCGTGCAAATGTGGAACCGTTGTACCGGCATTATTTATAGTGCTTTTAGCACTTTCTGTGCTAGGAACGCTACTTCCAAGTTCAGCTGGACCATCAATAACTGCTGATCCAAAACCGTCACCATGGGGATCACCATGAATCATGTATGTTGGCTCAACGACTTCTTTTGCTTTTTTGATTTTTGGCTCAAAATATAATCGATGGTGTTTTTTACTTTTTTTAATGCTTGAAAAGTCATTATCTTCAAATTTATTAGTTTCGGTTTCATCAACATGTAAATGATCGGAATCGTCTACAGGAGGGAGAAAATGTTGAGGTTTAAGTGATTGGTATCTTACCTGATCTACCATTTTTGAATAACTAAAGGCTGGATCATCAATTGGATTGTTTTCTTCTTCGTCTAAAGTATCGTTAGTTTTGTGAAACTTATTTTGAGATTTTGATATCTTTTCAAGATTTAGCTCTGATCTTTGAGATGGATCCCCTGAATAAATACTTTCTTTATCAGGATTCCCATAATGATTTCGCTTGTAATCATCAGCACTCGACGAGATATTAAAAAGACCTTTTTCGTTAAAATGGTTGTCTCTACTTTTTGCGTAGTTTTTTAGTAGTTCCAGAGCTTCTCTGTCAGAATCTTCATCTGATTTTTCATCTTCATTTTTGCTATCACCATCACTGAATGATGCACTATTCTCGGCTTTATTGGGTGTTTGCGGACTTTTAAGAAGCTCGTGGTCAGATGATCCCACTTTGTGTAAACGTAAATACCTGAAACCACCTTTCTCTCCACTTCCTTTATGTATATGAATATGTTGTTCGTTATGAACATGATTATGTAAATGGTATTCTTTTTGATCTGTTCTGTCATTATCCGATTCAACTTCATACTCTTTTTCTTCCGTGTTGTGATCCATACCAATATGCGTGTTAAACTTTGGTACATGTTTATCAGGATAAAAATCTTTCTTTTCGTTGTTTGTGTTCTTATGCTCGTTACTGTTAATGTTGGTCTCGTGACGACGATGAGCAAATTTAGATTGTTTAATACTACCCTCAATAATAGAAAGAGCTTTAGAAGGCTTGGTAATTAAATTTTCATTTGGTAAGTCCTCAACATTATCATCATTGTCCTCGTTTTCCTCATCTTTATCGTAATTCAAATCTGTATCAGAATCGTTCTCTGAATCGGCGTTCATGTAATGCTTATCTGTATAACTATGTTCTTGATTTTTAATTTTTTTATGCAACTTAAATTGAGGTTTAAACAAGTCCACATATTTGTTATTATCAGGGCTAAAAGGATGAATTGATTTAATCAGTGGAGCATACCTCAACTTTGATTTGAAGGAGGGAAAATGAAGTAAGTTTCCGAATCCATTTTTATCGTTATTTTCCTCTAAATTAGAATTATTTGATATGGCATCCTCACTTGTATTTTCAGAATTTTCATTATCCTTATCATCATAATTGTTGGATGTATTTTTAAGTTTACGGTTAGTTGACTGAATTATTTTCGTTAGCTTTTTGTTGCTTGTTTTTACGGGTGTAAGTGGCGTATGAAATAACGTATGTTTGTTACGGTGATGAAGTTTAAAGTTTTTATGAGAGTCAAATTTATTAAACAAATGATTCGGAATTTGAAAAATTTCGCCATCATGATTTTGTGTTTTTTCTTTGTTATTTGCTGCATTTTCGTCTTCATTTTGTGTTTTTTCTTCTTCAAATATTGCTTTTTCTTCAATATTTTGTACTTTCTCTTCCTTATCTGATGAGTTTTCTACTTCGCTTTGTGTGTTCTCGTCATCATTCAGATTTTTTACTGACTCTATTGAATCGACTGTTGTTTTTTCTTGATTACCAATTTTATGATTTCCTTTTCTACCCATTGTTATAAAATCTTCATTTTGATTTCCTTTGTCACTTGTAGTTATTAAACGTTCTTTTTGATTTCCTTTGCTATTTGTTGATAGCAAATGTTTATTTAGATTTCCATTGCTGCTTGTGACTAACAAATGTTTGTTTTGTTTTTTTTCGCTGCTTGCAATTACTAAATGTTCATTTTGATTGTTTTTATGGCCTAAAGTCAACAAATGTTCGTTTAGGTTTTCTTTGTTGCCTACTTTTTTTAACTTAAGTTCTTGTAATTTTTCACCTTTTTGTTGTTTCCCTATGTTCAACGACAAACTTGGTATAGCTTCTAACTGATCTGTTATATTTTCTGGTTGAGTTTTTTCAGATAAAACGTTTACTACGGTATTTTGTTTGCTTTCTTCCTCGTCCGAAGTTTCTTCCCTAACAACTTCACCTGTGTCGGTATCAATGGTAATTTGATGGCGATGATGTTTCAAATTAGATTTAGAAATTGGTTTCAATAGGGGTTGCGTAGTTGTCTTTAGGTTTACTGTGTTTTGAATAGTTATTTCTGATGGTTTAAGGAATTGAGAATTTGGTAAGGAAGTTGGTTCATCAATTTTGTTGTCGTTCATTTGTACTTCTTTAGAATTTTCAAGCGGATCATTTAACAACAGTTTTATTGGAGACGGTTTTGGAAGAACTACAATGGAATTACTATCGCTTTTATCATTTTTTGCGTAAATATGAATGGCGTTCATTGAATGTTGATTTTCTGTATTAGATTGCCCATCATCTTTTATCTCCTCTACTAGATCATGAGCGTTTATGACAGAAGGTACAGCTAGAGAGTGTGATACTGAAGTAACTGGCTGCGAGTTAATTTGATACTCTGTGTTTTGCGATGCAACCTGTATATTCTCATTAGGTGGATATATTTCTGAAGGATTTCCCTCAACGTGATACTGAGAGTCATCCATTAAGGAAAATGATGCTTGATTTGTTTGATCATTTTGCCCTGCAAAAAGAGAAGCTGTTGGCATTGCCACTGAATTGCTCGATATTGATTTCTCTATTTCTCTATTGTTTTTAGCTTCGTTTAAAATATTTTGCCCAGTACCTTCAATGTTTTTAGCGGTAATATAGCTAGAACTTAGTTCGGGTGGACTAAATGACACAGTGTGTTGAGTTGCACCATTTGTTGCACCTCGAAAAACCATTGATTCAAAGTTTGAATTGGTTGGATCAGATTCCAATAAATGAATATGAGATACAGAAGGATTATTTTCAATTTTTTCTGTTTTACTGGAACCATCTCTCAAAGAATCAGTTCCTTTCATTATTGATGGAAGATCATCACTTGATAGTCCAGATATATCTCCGGTCAGACGTACTCCATACAAAGAATCTTCTAAAAAATTTTCTTTTTTATCTAAAGGCTCAGGTGACTTCTTATGACTAGTTTGATAATCCAACTTGGCATTTTCAAAATAGTCGTTCAAAGGACCATCTTCGACATTTTTGTCATAAATTTTGTAGATTGAATGCTTATCAGGGATAAATGGCTTCCCTATTGGCACTTGCTCAACAACATGTGGAAGTATATCTTGCTTGTGATATCCAGTGAACCAAGTGTTTCCAGTGTCGGGTACAAAAATTGGCTCTTTTTCATGTTCGGCAATAAATACGGTTGCATCTAAATGAAAGTCTAAAAATTATTTTGTGTAATATTTAGTAAACATTTTTATTATGAATAGTTGGAATGTTTTATTTGTACTTTTGCTAAAAGGTTTATCTTTTGATAATAAATTCTCAATTTGTCATTTTATTTTATTTGTGCAGCATGCTTATTAAAAAAAAACTATATAAAAAATGTATTAAATTAAGAGTATATGCAACTTTTTTTTATCTCGATACGTTTATATTAGGTACGCTTCTTAAAACAGTTCATAAAAACTATTTGACAATAAAAAATTTACCTGCAAAGAAGAAAAGTAAACAAAAGCTATGAAAAAAAATCATGGTATTTCATGATTTTTTGTGTTTTTTCCCCCAAAAACAAAAATTTATTACTCTCCGTTTGTACAAACCAGTTTGTTGAAAGTATGCAACGATGCAAAAACTTAGACAGGTACATGTTTACTTTTTCAACCACTCATTTGCTGTAACTTAAAATTACTTCGTTTAACGTCTAGCGAACGACAAATGAACGATGAACTAAATTATTTAGGCTGGTTTTTACTACATGTTGGCTATGTTTTGTTTGTTCAAACAATGTTTATAAATATATAAATGCAGCTTGCCTCAAAACCTCAATCACTTCAGAACTTAAACGGATTGACAGAGAAACTGTGACTTTTAACTCATAGTTTTTCAATAATGTTTTTAAATCTTGCTCCTCTTATGTTAAATATTTTTTAATTATCTTTGAATTTGAATTCTAAACTTTAAAGCAACAAATTATAAGCTGTCAGCTTAGAAAAAAGATGGAAATAGCATAATAATTATACAGCATAATAAATATTTATGTATAAAAAAAATTTAATTACTTTAACAACAAACTTATACCATTATGAACATTAAAGTGATGAGATAAGGTGGCGCTTTTTGAAAGGCGACATCACAAAACACCCGTGTTATCACCAAGTCTCTGGGTAAACATGTTCAGGATGCTTTGCTCTTTCAATGGTACCCCTATTTTCACATTCATTTGTGCAGGCAGTACCCTAAGAAATATATTAAAGTTTGATTGGAACTAAAGTAAATTTTCATTTTTACGAAATAAGTACATAATCAAGCATTTTTTTAAATATTTTTTTTAAACGTGAATTTTTTTAAATCTCGATTAGAAAAACTGCCAAGATCTTAGGGCTTAAAGATCTTAGATCTTAGCCAAAGTTTTCTCGGTTTGTTCTAGAATGTTTCGTGGCACCTAAAATCGAACTTCTGATCGGAATATTCTAGAACATGCCATGGTAACTTTAACAGTCGTTCCAGAATACAGTATAAGTAAAATTAGAGAACCCTTGGAGATTACCAAAGCAAGAGTTCGATATGAGATAGGTATAGGGCAAGGTGTACTAAATCAAGATAACGGAGATAAGGTTAAAAAAAAAACTTGGGGAACCATTTTGACAAAAATTTAACTGACCTCATTATTATATTATTAAATTGCTTTTTATATTTGACAATTTTTGATGTCTTCTTTTTAAACGGTTTGTTTTACGTTATTTTGAAACGTTTTATTATTACCTGATGACGTTGACCACAATAGGACAGCAAAATATCGTTAATATAATATTATATCAAATTATATTTAGAAATAGTTATACGGTGCCTTTTTATTGAAACTTACATATTATAAACATGTTGTAAAACAAGAATATGACTTTTAAATATATATATATATATATATATATATATATATATATATATATATATATAAATATATATATATATATATATATATATATATATATATATATATATATATATATATATATATATATATATATATATATATATATATATATATATATATATATATATATATATATATATATATTAAGGGTGGGTCATAAAATTTTTTTTCTTGTTACAGGCTCTAAACATTGCTAGAAAGTTGTTTTTTTATGTACTAATTTAGGAAAGTTTTTACTTTTATGGATTGAACAATGTCTTCCACCCGCAACTATAATTACAAAAATTTGCAGGCCCTATTATTATTCAAAAAATTTTTTTTTCGAAATTATGTGATGTAGGTACTCAAATAAAGCGAAATTTTATTAATAAAGTTGCGCCCTTTAAATCTATCACAATCATTTTCATATTTGATAGTATCATTATTAATAATTATTAGCAATGTTTAGAGCCTGTAACAAGAAAAAAAAAATTTTTGACCCACCCTAATATATATATATATATATATATATATATATATATATATATATATATATATATATATATATATATATATATATATATATATATATATATATATATATATATATATATATAAATATCTTTTACTGCTGGTTAAGTTGAGCAGTCTGACGTCATACTGAAATACTGAGCAGTCTGACGTCATACTGCTACCGGGGGCTTCAGCACATACATCGACTGACAAATAGCCTGATTCGCAGCGGAGTATTTTAAAGCAATTTTCAATCATTTTATATATAAACTTTATGTATATTGCCAATATACATAAAATTTATATATAAATGATTGAAAATTGTTTTAAAATATTATATTACATAAAAAGTTTGCATGACGTACTAATAATCTATCTTTCCAATATTATTGGAAAGTTAGATTATTAGAACGTCATGCAAACTTTTTATGTAATATAATATGCTGAAGTTTTTTTATTTATAGTAATACTTTAACATTTTCTAAAATAATAATTTTAACAAATAGACTTTGCTGGAGATTTTTCAGCAAGAAGGAAACTGAAGAAATCAAAAACCTCAAAATTGAAACTTCGAGGTTAGTTAATATCTTGTTAAAAAAATTGGCATTAAAAAAAAAAAATCTAAACGGCAATACTTTAAAACTATTTTAGCTGTAAAGTGCTGACGTGCAGTTATATTCTTATTACAAAACAAACAAAATCTGAATTAAATAGATAAGTCACGAGAGTTAGAAGTCATAGTTAAAATGTTAGAAGATATTCTGAAAGATAGAACACAAGAATAGATAAACCTATAGAATAAATTTTTTTTATCTTCTTTTAAATGTTTAAATCAAAACAAGGAGTTATAATAGACTGGAGAAGTTAAAGTACGTCATTTCTCAAAGACCAGTCTTAGTATTAACATAAACACCGCATAATTATCATAATTTAAAGTTAACTAATCACATTCCACTTTTAACAAAAGTCATCCAATGATATTGTTTCAAAACGTCTTAAGCAATTGAAGAATTTTACATAAAAGATGCAAGTTTAAAAAATTCGTAAACAATATTTAAAGTTAGTTTAATGCTATTATTTTGTTGTGCTTTTTGAACGACTAATAATAAATTTCTATATTAAAATTGAGTTAATAAATGTCTAGATAAGAATTGGTAGTATTTTTACTAGGTATTTTTTATCTCTATATTTAGAATAAAGTAATATGCTTTTAAATCCAGCAACAAAAAATAAAAGCCTGGAGGAATTTAATAAGTGCCGAAAAAACATTCTTAAAGAAAGTTACAAACCTAGAGCTGAGCAGGCAAGCAAAAAACAAGGTTCAAATAATTGAGGTGTGCAAGAAACAATTACTTCGCCTTAATCTTGATTTTTGTTGTAATTAATTTCTTATTGATCGAACAGTTGTTAAAAACCTATCCAATAAACATTTAAGAGATTAATCTACTTTGATTACAGCTTTCAAAGCTTACAAACTACATTTTCAAAATTTAAATTTTTTTTTGCAAAAGCGCTATTTTGACTTGCGCTGGAATAATTATACACCAAAGACTATATCGGGTTTGAAATCATTTTCAGCTTCGTTCCCCCTCCAACTGTTTAATAGTTTTGATCTCTTTGATCAAAGTTAGTAAACAGTTATTGAAAATGAATTTTGAAAACTCATTTAGAACTGATAATACGTTAGAATTTACGTGTTTCAAAGAGTGGTTGTATGATCTAGTACGAGAACAAACTGACGTTTAAAGCTGCAAAGAAGTTGCAAAAGCTTGGCAAACAACAGAGGGAATCCTTACATAAGTGCGAATAGGTATAAGCACATAAAGAACTTGAATACAATGACGTAATAAATACATAAAGAACTTGAATACAATGACGTAAGAGATTTTTAACTTTAAAACTGTTAAGAAATGACAAATTTAAATGTTATAAAAGATTACAAGTTAAATAGTTATTTATTTTTGTACTTTGTACATAAATTGGACATACAAGTATAAACTACACACAAACTTGTTTTGTGATATTACTTAGTGACAAACTTGTTTGTTGATATAACGTAATATTGATTTAAATAATTTAAATAAATAAAATAATATTTATCAAAAAGTGAAGGATATTTATTTAGCTAACTAAAATAACAAAATATTTGCGTTATCAAATATTTACGTTTTAAAAATCTTTTGTTTAAAAGCGTATATATAAATGTCAAAAAAAAAATACAGTAGTCAGTTGCTGTTAGAAATATTTTACTTGTTACCTGCTAAATCACAAAAATGATAAAAGTTCTCGGTTTCCTAATTCTTTCTTCATTATGTTTTGCAAATGGAGGAAAGGATGGCGACATTGCTGGAGGAAAAAAAAATCTGTCTCAAGAAGATATTAAAGAGCTTGTGTCAGCAAATGGAGATTTCTCGAAAGGCTTAGGCATTGCTACTGAAATGATAAATAACGGAACAAAAAAACACAGTAAAAAAACACATAGGTATCATAATTTGATTCTGAATTTTAAAAAAAAAATTTTTTTTAATCAAAAGTAAAATAAAATTTTGGAAAACTATTTTTATGGATATTTTTGTTTTAGACTAGTAATACAAAAGATTGTTAATGCTACATCACAAGTTGTTGCTGGTATAAAGTACGACGTTGATGTTAAGATGGAAGAATCTGATTGCAAAAACACAAAACAAAACGAGCACAAAAAAAAATCTGTTTGCAAAGTAAAAAAAAATTGTAACGTAAAAATTTGGAGTCGTCCTTGGATTGCCGCACCCAGCAATTTAAACGTGACTGTTAGCTGTGAAGAACATAAATAAATTTGTTGTTACTAAAACTCAGAATTACAACGTTATGTGGATTTTTTTTGTTAAACGATTCTTTTTAAATTTCTATTTTTCTGTATAAAATATTAAATTCATACTGGACACAAGTTTTGTTTTCCTAAACTTGTGCAGGGTTCTATTCTTGTGATAAAAATGTCATTTTTTTCTGTTAGAGTTGTTTTTTCAATGTTTTAAGTGTCTTCCGTCAGTTTTGACTTAAAATTTGAGAGAGCATGTTTAAAGTACATTATTGTATTATATACAGTATAAAGTTTTTGTTTGGCAAAACTCCATTTAATGCAAAGGCTAGGCAACATCTCTTCATTATCATTTCTTTGCTCGTAAAACTATTTTTAACGGCAAATTTAGTAAAAGATGAGATTGTGTCTAGCAGCCGTATTCACATCCCACCGTTAAAGCCTGCGATATGCTATCGGCTGGTTAAAAATATAATGGTAGTTTTTAAAGCCAGCGATAAAATAAACTCATGTTCATATGTCTCCGTTTAGTTAACGGCCAGAAAAAATTTAGTTATTGAAAGGCTGTTAACGCCAAAATCTAATAAGCTGTAATTTATGTTAAATTAAATTTATATGATTTATCCTTAAATAAATGTTACTATAAAATGAAATGTATTTTGCATTTGATTATAATACACGCACTGTTACGAACATATGTATCTTAAATACATGCGTATCTGCTTAACATTCATATACATATATGCATATATATATATATGTATATATATATATATATATATATATATATATATATATATATATATATATATATATATATATATAAATATATATATATATATATATATATATATATATATATATATATATATATATATATATATATATATTAAAGCAATTATACATGTACTTGATTATATATATATATATAATATATTTATATAAAAATATTTATATGTATTTGTATAAATATATATATATATATATATATATATATATATATATATATATATATATATATATTTATATATGTTTATAAATACATATATATATATATATATATATATATATATATATATATATATATATATATATATATATATACATATATATATACATATATGTATATATATATAAATATATAGATACACACACACACACACACACACACACACACACACACACACACACACACACACACACACACATATATATATATATATATATATATATATATATATATAAATATATATATAATATATATATATATATATATATATATATATATATATATATATATATATATATATATATATATATATATATATATATATATATATATATATAATTCAAGTGTCATCTTTAATTGTATGAGTAATAATATTATAAGCATTAAAACATCATATAAGGTATATTAATTTTTATTAATTAATATTTTATTTTTTAATATTGCAACATCTTGTTGAGACCATACAACCAAATTTAAATAAAAATGAATGTTGTATTAAAAATTCATCTTCATTTGTATAAACAGCAAAAGAATGGTTTATTAATGACAAAATTCAAGTGTCATTTGATGTTATTAATTTATAACTATCAGTGCCACTTGATAAAGCAACTGTTACAATTATTGATATGCTAAACAAAGATAGAGATGATCTAATACAACGAACTAAGTTATCTTTAGTAGATATTCATAAACTAATTGATCTCTGTATTAGTAAGTGCTCAGCCAGCCAACACATAAGGGTACCATATGGGACTTTGATACTGGACCCATATGGGCAACCCGTTGCTAGCCCAGCGGGAGATGCAAATGGGCTCCACACGGGTTCCATAAGGGCTTCCCGCTGGGAAAACCATATGGTTCCCGTATGCAGCCCATTTAATTAGCCCATACGGTTACGACTTGGGAAATCTGTATACAGCCCAAAATAAACCTCCAAGTATCTTAAGTCTCATAAGCGTGATTTAAGCGTTATTTAACCTCTGCCTTAAAGTCAATCTCGTCATAAGAACAAGAAACGTACTAAAAAACAAACAGATGTAACTTAAACTATTTATTATTAAATAAAGAGTATTAATGTTAAACAAATTTGTTTAAATTTTCTGACGGTGTAAGATAATCTGCATCTAGTTCAGTCGAATTAACGTTGACAGCAACTTTAGCAGATCTTCGACTGTTACTTCCACGATCCCGTGAGTTAGCAAACCATGTTGAAAGTTCAGTTTCGATTTCTTTTTACGTGCAATTTTTTGTGCTGGGATTTAATTTAATGGCACTTATTTATAAAACAGAAGCATATCATTAAAACACACCCACCGACACACACACAAATACACACAAACACACAAATATATATATATATATATATATATATATATATATATATATATATATATATATATATATATATATATATATATATATATATACATATATATATAAATACATATATATATATAAAACTAGAACTCGTTCCAGTGTATTTGTAATTTTTAAACGGTATTTTTGATTTTTAATTTTGTACTTTATGATGTTCAGCGTTTGGAAAGGACAGAAAGGATGATGACTAGATGGATGTGCTCAACTCGAAAAGACGTTTTCGAGTTGAGCACATCAACTCGAAATTGAAGCTATGAGCAACAAGGCTGTCTAGCAGCATGGGCATTGACCTCATAATAAAATTTCTTAAATCTTCTCCACCAATATCAACAATATGTTTGGCCTAAAAAAAGTTTGATGCAAGTTATGGTGCACAGATATTAAAAAATTAAATTAAAAATTGAAAAGTTGTTCACAACTTCATTGTTTACAACAATTTTTAAATAAACTGTATTTAAAAATTTTTGTAAGTAATTACTTTTACAACTATTATCTTTATTCCGGGATTTTCAAGCTTCTGTGTTACAATATCTATTTCTTCTATTGACTTTGCTGATAATGGAATACCTTCTGGAAGATCTGCAGAGATATGATCATTTAAATCAAGTTTGCGACGAATTTATTGAATTTGTGCTGTATGGATTGCTTGAGTCTTTTTCATATCTTACTGATTGATAATAACAGTTGCTAATAAATTAGGAATCATCTGTAGATTTACAGACTCACCAAGTTTGCTGTATTAAACATAAAAACATTTAAAAAGAAAATTTCAGATTTATTACACATATATATCTGATATTGTATAATATTATTAATACATTATGCGGTAGTGGTGTAGTGGTAAAACATTCGCTTCATAAGCGAGAGGTTCCGAGTTCGATCCCCACCACGTCCCTAGTAGTACTGCGCTCAACTTTTTTCTCGGCGCAGCGGCCTTGTTCGTCAAGGTTCGTGTTTCGGAGTTATAGATTTGAGAGAGGGTTATAACCACTATTAAGTAGCTTCCTCATCTGTAGTGGCCTTCTCGGCCTTGAGGAGGTGAATAACAAAACAAAAAACAAAACAAAAAAACAAAAAAAAAACAAAAAAAAAACAAATATATATATATATATATATATATATATATATATATATTTATATATATATATATATATATATATATATATATATATATATATATATATATATATATATAATTATTATATAGTCATTATATAGTCAAATATATATATATATATATATATATATATATATATATATATATATATATATATATATATATATATATATATATATATATATATATATATATATATATATATATATAATTATTATATAATTATTATATAGTCAAATATGGAGTAGGGCGGGTCGATTTTCAAATTTTCCCAGCAAATGCTTAGGCCATGATTTTTAAATGTTTTGGCCCTTATATAAAAGTAATCTAAAAAAAAAAAAAAAAAAAAAATTTTGTTTTAAGGTTTTCAAATTTTGACCTAAAAAATCGAGGTTTTGGGTAAAAACGCGGTTTGCCACAACTTTTGACTGATTGTTCCAATTGAATCAAAAACATCTTTTATGGAATCCTTGATTCCAAATACCCCTAATTAGACACCTAGATAATCATTTTAGCTTAAAAACTTATAATTATAAAAGTTTACAAAAATCGTTACTTTTGATATATTTTGCTGTAATATCTTCCATAACAATGTTATGTGAATGTAATGCAGCAAAACAGTTTCAAAGGATTTCTCAACCACAACGTGAGACAAAATCAATTAGACACATGAAAAATCATTAACTATTGTTTATAGCAGTATTTACCAATTTATCATTCACAATGCAAGAGTCAACTTAATTATACTAAATATACAATAAATATAAACTTATTGCTTAAAAAAGCTTAAGCAAATTCTGTTTAGATTCTAAAACAAGAAGAAGTTCTCTGTGAGCTATCGTTGCTTTTATAAACCCGCCTCGTCTTTCCTGTCCGTATACTAAAGTATACTCGTCTTTCCTGTCCGTATATTTAAACTATACTAGAAGCTCTTGTAACTTCTTCACAATTCTTTCTATGGATTGCCCATGTACAGGAAATTCTGGAACTTCCATTCCGATATCTAAAAACTTAATAAGTTCTTCTTTACCAATCTTGCATGTGAGCAAAAGCTCGTAAATATGCTGTATTGCTGTATAGCTTAAATGCGGTAGTGGTGTAGTGGTAGAGCGCTCGCTTCATAACCGAGTGGTTCTGAGGTCGATTCCTACCACGTTCTGGTAGTGCCGCGCTCAACTTTTTTCTTTGCGCAGCGGCCTTGTTCATCAAGGTTCGTGTTTCGGAGTTGAGAGAGGGTTATAACCACAAATAAGTAACCTCCTCGTCTGTAGTGGCCTTCTCGGCCTTGAGGAGGTGAATTAAAATAAAATAAAAATATATATATATATCATTACTCCAATCAATCAATTTGATAATAGTTTCAGCATTAGTAGTAATATTTGGGATATTTCTTGATCTAACAGCAGTAATTCCTAGGGAGCTCGAACGCCTTATTGAAAGTATTTTATTCACTGCAAACTTCCTCTCCTCTTTATCTTTGCTGCATAGTAGTCCTTGTAGAATAGATTCACTGTGAGCATTCCAGGCAGAGGAATGTGCTAAT